ATTTACAGAGATGGCACTACTGTGAAGAGTGAGGCTTTGATGACATTCTGGAAATGTTATATCTACGAACCCAGAAATACTTGACTATGCTGGGCAGGTGAGAGCAATGTTCAGCTCATGCTCCACCCTGTGAGCTCTGTGTTCATCCTGGCATGGGGCTGCTTCGCTGCTTCCCTGAAGAGAAAGGCTCCCTTTTCTAGTTCTCACAGAGGTACCATGTATGTTCAGCAGAGACTCTTGCCTCATTGAATTTGGCCCAACAACTGCCAAACAGTAATCTAACAGTCAGATGGACAATTCTCTTCCCATGGGGACAGCTGGGAAGAGAGTGGTAAAGGTGAGGCTGACCTGAGAAGGAGTGTAAAAGCCTTATTTCTTTCCTCAGCACCCCAAGGGAGCTCTGGAGGAGGACTAGCAAGACACAGAATTTTGTTTCAGGTGTCCAGGAGCTCTGCTGAAAGAGAAGAGAGATGCCCTGTTGCTCAAGAAAGTGATCCTGGATAGACGTAGGTGTTGGAGCGTTACTAAGAGAGCCATCAAGAGTGAAGAACAGTGCTCAAGGGAAGGGGACTGGAGTGGGGAGACAGCAGCTTCCTGGGTCAACACCAGCAGAAAAGGAATTGGCAGAGAGCTAGCGTGAAAGTCAGGAGCAAGCTGTGCTCTGGATCCTCAGGGAGCAAAGACGTCCTCCTGCAGCAGCTGTGGCCAATAAGTCAAGTGCGGGGAAGGTGGAGGCTGCAGCATATCAGCATGAAGCAAAGCTGGGTGACAGAAATGTCAGAATGGGAAAGTGGTGGAGGCTGGGTCTTAGGGTGGAAGAGTGACTCAACCCTGTCTGAGAATGTTCTCCAAGGTAGGCTCTGGGTGGCCTACAGTTGCTTACTTTCAAGGGCTTGTGTATTTCTGCAGCTCACTTGAGTGTTGGAGACTTAGAGCCGGTGACTTCCATTGCTGAAGGGCTGATACTCTGTGCCTTGGACCCAGAGAGGAGTGAGCTCTGTGTCCATTCCTCTTGTTTATAATCATGGATTGTATTAGAAAATAGAAGCACAAAAGAGACTTAGTGAGCTAGTGATCATGGTAGTGTAAAAAATAATAACACTTACTGAAGGTTTCCTATGTGTTACGCCTGGGGTAAGACTAACAGAAACCATTTCATTATAACTCATACCTTTCCTATGAGATCTATTGTCTTGGTTATTTTTCTCTTGTTGCTAGGACAAAATACCTAATGCCCAAATTTAAGGAAGGAAAGGGTTATTTAGCTCACAGTTTGTGGAGGTTTCAGTCCATACTTGGCTGGCTCCAAGGCAGGGTGGCACATGGCACAGGGTACAGTTTATGGCAGCGGCGCACAGCAAAGCAACAAGAGCAAAAGGGAGGAGGAGTGGTTGCAAGCAGCCTCCTTTTCTCTCTGACATATGCAAACTATCCACCCCAGGGCAGTGTAGCATTCACATCCATAATCAATCGAACTCTAAAAGCCTGCCCCATGACTGCATGTGGCTTTGGGGGGACATGCAGACATAAACCATAACATCTATGTTACTTCTTCTTTTTACAGAGGAACAAATTAAGACTCAGAGAGGTTAAGCAATTTGCCTATGGCCACATAGCCAGGAAGTTGAGAATTTTTTTGTGTCTTTTTGTTAATCTTAAGTGGTATTAACCGGTTTATGATGGAGCTGTGTTTAGGTGCCTGTGAAGCCCATTATAAAAGAAGGTAGAGGTTGGAGAGTAAAGATGACTGGCAAGGCTCACCGTCCGGCCCTGTCACATCACTTCCTGGCCATGAAACATGGCCTTTTACACCCCTGTTCCCTTTTGAGTTGATCAGATATTTTATCATATGTAATTGTCTCATTTTGAAGGACAGCATTTGATCCATGAACTGCTGCAGATGTGAGCTCAGTTCCTACTCTCTTGAGATGAAATCAGGTCACATTGTTTCTCAGAAGAAATTAATCTTGACCTAATTAATCTCAGCTAATGGCTGGATGAAACAATTAGTGTATCTTCCTTCCTTCAGTTTTTCCCTCCCTTCCTTCCTCTCTGCATCCTTTCCCCTCCCTCCCTTGCACCCTCCCCCGCTCCCTTCTTTCTTTCTGGTGGTACAAAGGATAGAATGCAGGGCCTTCTCACTCATATCCACCCACGGTCCAACTTTCATTTTTTGAGACAGAGTCTTGATACATCACTGAGCTGCCCATGCCAGGCGAGAACTTGTGATCTTCCTGCCTCAGTCTCCAAGAGTACAGGTGTGCACCACCAAGCCTGGCTTTTCTTCTTTACTCAGTCATTCAACACACATTTCTTGTTTTGCCTTCCTTGTTGGACTCTAGTCCAGTAGTTAAAAAAGATCTATTCCTTTCCAAACCTAAATTTTAAAGTAAATATAGTAAAACTATAGTGTACCTAATTTCCTGGCAGGTGTAAGACATTCCTATTATAATCCTGGAGTCAGCAATCATTTGATGTAAGGGCCAAACTGTATGTTTTTGCCTGGTAGTCTACATGGCTTCAGGCATGAGCTGCTCAACTCTTTTTGTAGAGTGAAAGCAGGTAGAGAAAATATGTAAATACATGACTCTAGCTATGTTCCAATAAAGCTATTTTTGGACAACAAAATTTGAATTCCATGAAGTTTCAATGCATCAATAAGATATTATTCTTCTTTTGAGTGTTTTCAATCATGTGAAAATGTAACAGGTATCAGTTTGAAGACTATACAGACAGGTGACGAACTGCATTCAGCTTGGAGGTGTTCATTTATTGGCACCCGCTCCAACTGCAAGGCCAGAGGATTGGCACAACTGTTGGGTGTCTTGGTTCAGTTCTTTTACATTGTGGGCTTTCTTGAGGGAGCATTCCTGAAACAGCAAGCACAGCCGTGCTTCTTTGGATCTCAGTCTTGGGCTCCCTCTTCTTTGGCTTATATAATGCTAGCACTGAACTTCGCTTGGTTTGGTGGAAGAGCCCCACATGGAGAAGGCTGTTTTAAGACTTGAAGTAATGCATTTAGTGGTTCTGTAGGTGTGTAATGTCTAATACCAGGGAGAGAGATAATGATTCTGGGGAGAAGCGGTTTTAAAACAGTTCTAATTGTTCAGGCAAGTTATTTTTATCAGACTGAGGGGACAGATAAATGATCACATTGTTATTATTTTTTATAGATTATATTTCAAGAAGATTTCTGTTAAGAGTGATTAAATACCAGTTTTAATTTCACTCACTCAAGGAAAAATTTCCATCCTATTAGGCTTTTGTTCTTAATAATTTACTACAGAAGACTCCGGACTTTCAAACTCCTCATTCTAGGACTTTTGCTGGCATAAATGAGGCACGTGTTTCAGTTAAAGGGCTGAAAATACAGGAAAAATGCAGGGACGTGAGAACTACTAGAAACATTTGGTGGTTATTATATTAAAATATGTAATAGTAAATGTAACATATATAATATGTTATGTATAAATATTTTACTTTTAAAATGAATGGTAGTAGCAGTAGGTAAAATATGTTTTTGTCACAGAGAATGTTTTTCCATGGTGTCTGTGTGGTGAAATGTGAGAACTGGTGATTGTACATAGCAAATACCCACTATGTGCCAGGGTTACACACTTCCTCTTATTTCATTCTCCTTGTAGGATGAGTACAGTGAGACTAAGCAGGCTGATGTTCAAAGACACCAAGCTGGTAAGTGATGGAGCCAGAGTTCAGAGCCAGGTCCGTGTGTATATTAAACCTTTCACACTTCTGCACTGTAACAGACTCACACGAGTGTTACAGTCTAAGGACATCGAGCTTTGGAACAATCCCAGTTCCTACGCTGAGATGCACCATTCTGTATGATATGAGGTTTGTGTCAACCATTGCCTGTATAATTAGTAATCTTATCACCAAACTAACCAAACCATCAATTTGTGATTTTAGATTTTCCTCCAGAAGAATTTGAAGCTGAAATTCCAACTACACTCTAACATAACAAAAATTCATTTCTTTAGGTGTCTGTCTGTACTCCTAGCACTCTGGGAAGCTGAGGCAAGAAGACTGCAATTTCAAGCCTAGTGTGAGCAACTTACGGATTTAGTGAGACCCTACCTCAAAAAAATCCATTTATTTAAAATACATAGCGAATTGAAGATATAATTCCTCAAGCATGTGTTAAAGTGGGTTTCACTGGGCTTGAGGGCTTTATGGGTCCTTTCAAACCATATGCAGAACACTGCACATGTGCTTCTATAGCCTTTTCTGCAGAGGGTGTCTAATTTTTATTAGATTCTGAAGTCATAGATCCACTGCGGTCTAAACTCAGTTGGAACTAACTAGGAATGTACTGCTTGACTCATCCACCAGTGTGTACTGTGTTGAATTCCAAGACACAGAAGAGGTTACATTAACTGTAGTCCCATGATAGCCTGGACTAGCACTGTCATTACCCTTGTTACACTAGCTGGATCTCTTGCACTTGGGATGGGATATCTGGATTCCTTCTTCCTCTTCCTCTGTAGACCCTTATTCCTGCTTGCTGGTCGGAGGGAACGATTTTCCCCGCATCAGCTTTACCTAACTCAGCTGTGGACATGGAAAGACCAAAGACAGATTTGACATCGTAAAGCGAAAGCTGCACATGCAGACTCTGCATTACCTAGCTGTAGCACCTGCTTTACACTCCTTGCAACATGTTTGCTTTTTTATCGCAGAAGTGTTACCTACAGGTCTGGTAAGACCTCTTCCAAATTCACAAATTCCGGTAGTCTTGGCGGGGGAGCTACTGGAAATGGATTGTTCTAACTCCATTGTACACTGCACATTGCAGCGCGGGCATGTGCAAGCCCTTGTCTACAAATATGGGTTACTTCGATAAGCATCTTCTGGGGAGGGCTGTTGACGGTTCTATTACGGGGGCGCCTGGTTAGATCTGGGGACAGCTGTGGGAGGAAGTGGGCGTGGCGATTTTCCTGACTTCCTTGTTTGGAGTAAACTTTGGCGGGGTCTGACGGCTAAGAGGTTTGCTTTCCCATCGTAGTTGTGCTTTGGGGGAGCTCTCCCGCCTGCCAGAAGAAGCGTACGTAGACAGAGCAAGACGCCAAATCTCAGCCATTCCCTGGGGCCCCTCCAGAGAGGTGCAGGAGGAGCTGGAGTAGAAGCAGACGCGGCTCGGCTCCGGCGCCCCAGGGAGCGCGAGGGAGGCGGGGACCTCGCCCACCCGGCCCGCCGCGCCTCGCACGCAGCTTCGCGTCCGCAGCCTGCACTTGGGATGGGGCGCTCGGCCCCGGCTCGCTGACTCCGCGGTGCCCGGTGCGCTCCTTGACTCTGGGTCCCGGCGCCAGCAGCCGGCGCGCTCCGCTCGCTTCCAGCGCGGGTCCGCGGCGACAGCGCCGAGCGGCGGGGAGGGGACGCTGCACGCCCTGCCCTGGACCCCGAACGCCGCCGACCTCGCTGCGCGGCCCCTGCCCTGCCGGCCGAGCCATGACGGACGCCAGCAACAGGAAGGAGGGCTTCAAGAAATGCCGGAGCGCCACTTTCAGCATCGATGGCTACAGCTTCACCATCGGTGAGAACTTTTCACCCGCGCTGGGACTGCTGGCTTCGGCAGACGCCTGTTTGCGGAGCGGGTGCGGGTGGTCAGGGGCTGGGCCGGGCCGAGGGTGCTGGCCCGGGGAGCACAGCCTGGGAGCCGAGCCCGGGATGTCCCGGGATGTCCCGGCACCCTCGAGGGCTGGAGCTGGCATCCCTCTGGAGCCTGTCGGATTTGGGGTTACAGGTCTCTCACTACTCTGTTTCCTTGGTGTGATCTGTGTAGCAAAGCCGGAATAGAAAGGATAGAGACCTGGATAGAGACAGAGGGAGGGAATGGTAGAGACAGGAATACCAGGGCAAGGAAGACCGAAAGCAACAGAAAGAGGTGGACTTGGTAAGCAGTAACACTCTCTCTCTCTCTCTCTCTCTCTCTCTCTCTCTCACACACACACACACACACACACACACACACACACACAGAGAGAGAGAGAGAGAGAGAGAGAGAGAGAGAGAGGGAGAGAGAGAGAATGAATAAGAATGGCAGACACGTTAGACACAGGCACCTTGACACTGGGTGAGAAATAGAGACAGAGATGCTGAGACAATAGGCAATAGACAGAGTGGGAAAGGGAGAGAGAGGAAAGGAGGGAGAGAGGAGAGAAGCAGGCAGGGTGAGAGGAATAACGCGTCACGTTACTGAAATACTTGGGCTGGGCGGCCGAGCTGTGTGCCGGGGTTTGCCCCTCCTGCCCACCGGACTCCCGGTGGCGCTTGCTCTCTTTCCACCCGGGTTCACGGAGAAGGGCTGCTGGGGCAGGCTGGAGGCGCCCGCGGGGAGCTGGGCCACGTTAAGTTCTGTCCTCGATTCTTTAACTGTTGGTCTCACACGCTCTCATTGCTTTGAAACAACTTGTCAGGGCCTTCTTCATCTTCGCGGGATGGGGCAGACCCGGGAGGCCCTGGTAGCACGGGGAGGAGAGGAAGCCACCTTTCTGGAATGTCAGCGTTTGGAGTACAGGCTCTTGCAGTCCTACTTTGGGGAGCGCTCAGGTTACTATCGCCTGAAATCTTAACCCCAAAGACTTGGAAAGTTTGAGAAGTTGTCGTTTTGTTTCTTGGCGTGTTGCACCTGCTCTGAGGCATAGTGTGAAAGAAGGGACCAGCGCTCATCTCTAGGTCACTTTTGCTTGTAGTGAAGTGGACCAAAATTTCAGGGGCATGGACTGAGCATCTCGCCCACTGTGTCTCACACTGTCTCGCTGTTCAGAAACTTTGCCCACGCTGCTTCAATGAGCAGTCAGGAACGCTGTTCCTTCAACTCAACTTGAGAAATCTTGCCTGTCTTTCAGATAGGTGCCTGTTCCACTTGCTGCGGTCTCTATTGTCTATCTGCATCACAAACATAAGTCCCTCCTTTTGCCTGTAGTTCCAGCCAGTCTCCTTTAAGGCTCTTCCCGGACTGGAACCAGTCATTAGGCTGGTAGTTCTTGTTGCCCTTGCTGCCATTGCTAATTTATCTTTCACCCTCCAAGTGGGCAGGTGCTCACTGGGCATTTGTAGAAATGGATGAAAAGTTACCCAAGTCAGAAGTGTTTGAGCAAAAGTTCATTGTTCTGTAAATATGTATCGCTTTTCTTGACTTTGGTAGGAAACTTACAAAAGGGATTTTTAAGTTTCACCTGGTGGTTCCCGCTAGAGCTTGTCCTCCTAACAGGTTGACTTTCTCAAATCTAGGATTATAGCATGATCTTCTTCTTTCTTATCCCTTCCTTCCCCATTAGAAGAGATGTCTAGCAGATTGGTATAGTTTGGTGGTCAGAAAGGACCCCAAAGTTAGATGATCACTTCCAACAGAGATATAGCTTACTGGGTATAGATTACTGGGTATCTCTTCATTTACGTTTTTGCGTCTGTCCTCCTCCTCCTCTTCCTCCTTCAACAAATGTTTGTTAGTTTTATATATGTATCTATTTTTTTGAGACAGGGTCTCACTTGGGCTGTCCTTGATACACTGTATATCCTCAGCTGGCCTGAACTCCTGGGAATCTGCCTGCCTCAGTCTCCTAAATGCTGGGATGATTCCTACGTGGGGTGCATCACCACATAGGCTGTGAGAGGTTTTTAAAATTTTACTTTATTAACAGATACAGTTGAGCACAATGCTTGCCAATAGCAACACTCAGTAAATGATAATTACAATCATTCAAGGCACTTAAACTAATATAATGGCGAGTTCATGAAGATAAATCAGGTTTACGAACTGCATTTAGGGAATTTGTATTCTTGGGGTGATGTGATATGTGTATACATAACTTTTTGACAAAATAGAAATTAGTGTGATAAGAAACATTTTAGTAATTTTAGGCCAATATAGATATTTTAGAAAATATAGGAATCAAAAAGAGAGTTACCTGTAATTTTATGACCCAATGCTGAATATTAATGTTTGTTTGTTTTTCCTTTTTTTTTTTCCCCTGTGGTCTTTTTTGAGACAGAGTCTCATTACACAGTTCAGGCTGTCCTCAAGCTCACTTTGTAGCCCACGCTGGCCTCAAACTCACAACAATCTTCCTGCCTCAGCCTCCCAAGTGCTGGGATTACAGGTGTGCACCATAATATTTCTTGTATATATTTTCTAGTGCTTTTTTTTTTCTTTTTTTTTTGAGACAGGGTTGCACTATGTAGTCCAGGCTGGCCTTGAACTCATGGCAGTTCTTCTGCCTCAGCCTCCCAAGTGCTGGGATTACAGGTATGCACCACCAAGCCTAGCTTCTAGTACTTTTTTGTATGCACATACAGTAATTTTTTAACGACATACAAGCATAATGCTTGGCAGTCTATTATTTAATAATATTTTATTAGCTTTGTTTCCTGTCATATGGGAAACATTTACTTAAACAGTCTCCTATTGTTGGGCATTTAGGCTTTTGATTTTTACCTTAATAAGCAGTGATACAAACTAAATCCTTGATTACATCCATGGTTACTTTTTAAAGTTAAACTTCTAGAGGCGTTGTTGTCTAATTCAATAGTCTGTGCATTTTTAGAACCTTTGAAATATATTGCTCACCTCTCCTCTGGAAAGATTTTTCACTTTACATTGTCATCAGCAGTGGTACTCACAGTCTCTCATGGGTGCTGGACATTAAAATTTTTTAAATTTTTTACTTTGAGAGGTGGAACATGATATCTCAATTCCAAAAGTTATTTTACTTCTTTTATAAATTTACTTTGACTGTATTTTTCCTTTAAAGTGAAGGGTTTCCTCACTTTTAAATTTTCAAGTACTCTTAATGTGTATAATATGTATCAATTTGTCTTAGTTACTTTTCTCTCCTTGCTGAGACAAAATATCCAGTGCCCAAAACTAAGGACGGAAAGGCTTATTTAGCTTACAGTTTGTAGAGGTTTTAGTCCATAATCAACTGGCTCCAAAGCAGGGCAGGGCGGCAACACTTTGAGGAGGCACAAGACAGCAAAAGCAGCAAGAGCAAAAGCGGGGAGCACACCTCTTTCCCTCCCTATATTGTATATGGGCTGTCCGCCCATGCCTACACCATCTCCATGCCCTCCCCTTGCACAGGTTCAGGATGAACACAAAGTGAGGACCCTAGCTCCCTGCTGAGTCACTTAGTTAACCTTCCAAACTTCTGAAGTTGACACAATGAAGACATCCTAGAGCAGCTAGGTCCTGTCCTTTTCGCTCTAGGATGTAGAACTGCTGGGTTATGTAGTTAAGCTTCTGGATTCCTCAGGTTGACACAGTGTATCAACCGTAACACGATTATATATAGCCAATGGATAGATTATACACATCATGCAATTATCACTGTTATATATTAATATATAATTAATATACAATAATATTTTACATTATATGCATTGATGTCTTATTAAAATACATGGATAAGGTACACAAATGTACACAGGTGTGTACATGTATCTGTGTATACATATTGGTGTGTATAACACTTGCAAGTGACATGTCACGTATGTTACAAATAATTCTTCCAAGCAAGAGTCATATTCTTGTCCCATCTGCATGTGGTGGTCAGGACTCACTTTGAGAATGAATAGACATCTTGTAGCCCGCACTTGCAGTTCCTGGCTCGTCATGTGTTTCAGCAGAAAGGAGTAGTGTGGTCACCCTCCTGCTGTGTTAGAGTAGATTACTGATGAGGTTCTAGTGGCCCTCAGGTCTCTCTTTTCTTAGGTGTCTGACCTGTCACGGGAATCACCGCCTCTTCTGGTGTGGTAGATTTACAAAACTTTCAGGTCAAAGGAGTTTATATGGTATGGGAGATTCAGGAGATTCTCACCAGAAAGGCCTGTGAGGACAGTGGGGACTCAGTGCCTCTGGCATCAGGGAGGTATGAGCCACCCCTGCAGCAAGGTCACAGACAAACTCTACTGGGAATTCTACTGACCAGACTTTGCTCTGCTGATGGTGTATTTTTGGGTAAACAGGGAGACAGCTCCAGCTGGTGGCTGTCCCTCAGGAATGGCATTCCCCAGGGATGTTTGGACAGATGCGGGACCTTTCAGTAGTCACCATGCTGGGGACCTGGGGACAGAGGTCAGAAGAGTTGAGTGTAAGGATTACACGAAACACCAGGAATACCTTTGTGAAGCAGCCTGGCCAGGGTCCCTCTGACATGGAAGCCTGGAGTGGCTGAACCATGCTGTACCCAGATGCAGCTACTCTGGAAATTGAGAGTTGAGGGTCGAGGGTGGCTAAAAACAGGCCCCTCCATGTAGAAAGAGAAGCCATGGGGAATGGGTCATTTTAATACCTAATAAATATCCAGCCCTAGAAGACAAGGATGTTTATCTGAAAAACAAGGTTCTGCTCCATACCCTCGTTCATTTCACTTAAATATTCTCACACGTACCTTGTCAGAGTCAAACTGCACATGAACTTCTACATCTTATGGCTTCCCGGTGACATCAGTCATGATAACCTCTGCAATCGTGAAGTCAGTGACCCTACTGTTGGTTCTTTCATAGTGCTTTCTGCACAGGGCATGTATTCAC